AAACTTATCATTCAAATTTCTCAATGTACCCGTGAGAATTCAAATAAATTAAACAATTTGATCTTGAACGCATTCTATTTTCTCCGGACAATATTACGTTTAGCTTGTAGGTGCTATTGATAAATTATAATTGTTCTTGCTTTACTATCTATGTAACTGATGAAAGCACGTATTATAATTAATTACAGATAACGCCACCAAAATTTTTTTTTTCTTAATTTGATAAGTGTGAACCCACATTAGCGCACATAATAAATATCATCGGATCATGCTATTGTTTTAAATCCGAATTTGTTGAGTTTGGCTTAAATATACTTTGGGGTGTTTAAATTGCATTTGGAGTAACTGCTTTATATACCGGAGAGTAAACCCCTAAGATTAGACCTTCATGCACCTATTCTGGCAGATGCTACTTCAAATATTTAAATGCATTTGTAAATTTAAAAGGTTTAATGGCTTAATTAAGTAACTTATCAAACTAGGCGCAAAAAGAAATTTAAAAACCCCTGCAATTTGAAATATTTACCGGGCTTATGTTTCGTATTTTTGTCAAACATTATAAATAAAAGAGAGATTTTGAACCTGTAACTGTATTAGTATCACAAATATCCAATAAACAACAATAATTAGTTGTTTTTAATATCATCATCCGAAATCCGTGCCACCTATGCCTGTTTATAAGATCATAGGATCGTGTAACATAAGATCTTTTCGATTTCCTTATTTGGGTTCCTAAAAGCGGGGCAGATTATGTAATATTCCTAAAAGCGGGCAGATTATGTAATATTCAACCACACACTTTGATAACTTGGATCAGTCCGATGAAGCAAATAAAAAGAGAAAATGCGAAAAACATTGAAAACGATAGTCCAAACTCTGGGTAGTTGCCAACTATAGTTGCAAATAATCGATTTTTCATATCGTGATTAAATTTGCCGATTATCGAATTAAATTAAAGATTAGCCCGACTAGACGGAATATCTCGAAATTGAATTGGTTGATAATTAAATCGATTAGTTTTTTAAATTTTTCAAATCGATTAGTTGGAAAGTTGTAACTAGTTGATTTTCAACTAAACGATTCAGATCATTAATTTCGAGAAGGTAATTTTACTTCTATGAATACCTCTAACCCTAATCCAAGTGGCCCTAACATAATGTTAATGAAAAAACATCATGACACGTAATCTACCCGTTTAAAAACTCCTTCTATTTGGTGAAAACCATTGTCTGACACTTGCTTTCAGATAGAGGTTTTCCTAAATTTTCCTGTCATGGGATTTTCCGAGGTTAATAGTACTGGTCTTGCGCGGCACCATGTGCTGCGCAGCTACCTTATACTGTTATATCTACGTAATAAATTCTACACAATATTAAAGTAAAATAAGTATTAGGATTATTAAAAGAAGTACTCTAAACTTAAATACAATAAGTGAATAGCTTGTATGAGTTTTTTTTTCAAATCTAAGGTTACCTTGAACACTTTGATCGTTCTTTTTATTTGACTGCTTTTTCACATTTAGTACTTCTATATAGCTAATACAGATAGTAATAGCAATAAATAATGAAAGCTTTGCTTCTAAGCAAAGTAAGCCAGGAGACAGATTCTTTTCGGATTCTTTTGCACAGTGAATATTAACGTTCTTTTAATGCTAAGAATGATTTTATGGCGATTTTTTTTAGTGAAATGTTACGTTCTCAAAAAGTTCTTTAAAGTGTATAAATAAGTTACCCGGGTAATTGATTTGCATCAACCAATCAGACGAATGTTCTTCCATGACATCGTATCCCTTCGATGTGTTTATACATCGCATCTTTAATGACCGACCAATCAAATGTTAAGATCACGTGTAACGTAGCATGATCAGCAAAACAACTCAAAATTTCACATATGAAACTATCTTTCGCGCTATAACAAAACAATTCTTGCGAAATTTTACTATAAGATCTCTTTCCTACCTAACCCTTATCATTTGTCCTTTAATGATTTTAGAGTCAATAAAATACAATTTTATTTGAAAATTTAAAATTAATTTACATAATAAATAATAAATGCTCTTAATTTTAACAAGAAAAAAATTTTGTTATTAGTAATAGTATTTTTTACTCTTAATGAAAATACATTTTCCAGTCAAATTGATATTTGATTAAGCCTTATAACAACTTGCTGAATGGATGGTCTTTTATCCAGATCAGACGACCAACAATCTTTATATATTCATCAGGAGCATCTCCACTAGGCTTCTCTCTTATTACTTAGAACATCATGTACAAAAGCCATCAAATTTGAATAATTTGAAAGTGGTTCTTTACAGCTGAAAATCTGCCACATGATTACGCCTAGACTATAAATATTGGATTTAAAATCGGGTTGATATTGTGGATTTTTAAATGATCGTGGATCTAAATAAGCTATCATATTTCTCATATTGTTCACCGATGAATTTCTTTTTAATATTGTTGCTATTGTTGGATTTGCTATAAGCGCTTTTTATTCTCGACAAATATTCTATTATATTTGCGCACAAGGATTAGGTCGCTTATTTTTATTATATAATTCTGAAGTAGAAAAAACTTACTAAGTTTTCATGAACTATTCCTTTTGCATATAAATATTCCAATCCTTCATTTATACCTTTCGCCATTTTTAATTTTGTTTTCCGACTAATTTTATTGCGAACTAAATAATCTCTCAAATTTCCATCGGCAGCAAACTGAAACATCATATATTTATTTTTTTTCAAATCTAGACATTATATAAAATAAGATATAGAATTATAAATCAAAATCATTTAAATTGAAAATAAACAAATTTACCGTAAGTTATTCCATAAAACCTTGACATTTTGTGTTTTACATCTTGCAACATATCTTGCAACTATGATTATTAAAATATTAATGGAATGTTAAGATAACATTATAACAATCATTATTAGGCCTTGCAAAGTAAAATTTCATTTTGTGAGTGCAAATTTCAGACATTAGTCTGCAGTGCAGTTCTTAAGTTTGATTTGTGATGAAATAAACAGAAATCAGTTGATTTTGGAATCGCATTTATTATTTGTATTATTTTCGACAAGAATCAAGGCCACGTTTCGGGGTTTATTGGCCCATTTCAATGTAGATGTCTTGAAAATACCAAATTCTGGCAGATTCAACGTTTCGATAGCAGTAAATTCATTTCTTTTATGTAATCTACACGAGTCATTTTACGATTCCAAAATTAGCAAACATTCTAGTTCAAAACTTTTATATCATTGTTGAAATGCAGGAAAAGCGACAATAGAATTAGAGTGGCCGGGAATATGTGATGTGAATATATGTGCATATGTGGTCACGTTTTATGTAAATCATATGTGCACATATGTATACCGACTCTAGAAATTCAGAACGAACGTTTTTATAAAAAA